TTCTGAAAAGCGGGTCAGCACCCTGGGGTCCCAAGATCCTCTCAGGGGTCTGGAGAGTCAAAACTATCTTTATAATGATATTGAGATGTTATTTGCCTTGCTCATTTTTGTGTGGATATTGCAAAAACAATGGTCTTGATATTTGTGTGGATATTGCAAAAACAATGGTGGGTAAAACTGCTACCAGCTTAGAACAAATCCAGCAGTAGTACCAAATGGTATTAGTAGAGTTTGTCATAATATATCTGTATCTGTAGCTATATCTATCTATATCTATAAATATACAAATGTCCTTGATGAAGCAATGAAATTAGTTTTTTATTCAATCTTGACCCTGGAAACATATCTGTTCAATATTCTGTGTGAGAAGTATGCATAAAGCACCTGTTATAAAGAAAGAATGATTTAAGAACAGTCGTTTTTGTGATGGTTTGAGTTATGAGCTGAACTAGCTACTTTTTTCATGAAACAACATTTTTACTTGAAAGAACTGACAATCTATGCTTATTCAGATCTGGGCACCTGTCAGACATTTGCTCAAAGATGAACAAAACTGCTGAGCTTGGCTATGTGCAAGGGGGTTGTGTGCTGTCACTTCACATAAAACAACAGGACTTGTTGCCAGTGGTAAAATTTGAGCTTTTAAAAGAAAAAAATTAGAATTTTAAAAGTTATATCCATCACCCTGAGCTTGACAGATTCTTGATACCTAAAGACTTTTCTGATGAGACTGGTGGTGATACTAATGTGACTTGTTGATACCGTATAATAAAATGTGTTGATATTTGGAAGAGCACATAACTCAGTGACCATAACTCAGAGCACATAACTCATTCATTCCAAATGACCAAAGCATGATGCAAATAGACCAATGAGTTTTAATGATAAGAATACAAAAGTTCGCTGATGTGATTTCAGATTCCACATTCCACGTGAGCTTTGAGAAATTACCATGTGACAGGTTTTGGTGTAATATCAAAGAATATCCACAAAGTTCTGAAAAAGTTATTAAAACACCCCCTTTCCCTTTTTCCAATTACACATTTGTGGAAGGTCCGATTTTCCTCATACATGTCAACCAAATAACATCACAACAGACTGACAACAGAACCAGATAGGACACTCCAACCGTCTCATATTAAGTCAGATGTTAAAAAGATTTGCAAAAACGTAAAACAATAAACGCCACCTGTCTTACTAATTTTTTTTATTTGGAAGATATATTTTTTCACAACAATATGCTAACGCTTAATGGTTTTATTATTTTAAATAAAGTATTTTAAATTTTCTCAAATTAATTTCTAACACTGCAAATATCAGAAGATATAATCTGCAAAAGCAAAAGCTGTGAGGGGTCTTCAAAAAATCTGAGATCCACTCACAAAGACCAAAGCTTGGCACACTTTTTCTGAAAAGGGTCAGAGGGCAAATGTTTCAGGCTTTGTGGTCCCAAACGGTGTCTGTGGTAACTACTCAGCTCTGCCATTATAGTGAAAAGCAACCACACATGATACAGAAACAACGGGCATGGCAGTATTCCAATAAAACTTTATTTACAAAATAAATAAAGGATTTGCCATGCAGCCAGGTCACAGTTTGCCAGCTCCTGACTTGAATGTTCTCTCTACATCGGTGAGCCCGGAAGTCAGATCACCTCACTCCACTCAGGATTTCCAGCGGTCCCCTCTCACTCAATGTCTCTGAAATGTCTCAGGGCCCGTTCCCTCTGCCAGGAAGGTTTTCCCTCAGCTCACTCCTCCCCCTCCTTCAGCTCTGCTCCACTGTCATCCTTTCCGTGAGACTTTCCTTGACACCCTATTTACAACTGTATCCCTTCTTTTTCCTTCTCGTTTTTACTTCTTTCCACAGCACTTACCACTTTCTAATATACTACGTGACTGACTGACTTCTTTCAGTTATTGTCTGTATTTACCCACCAGAATGTCGCTCCATGAGTGCAGGTTTGGTCTGTTTCGTTCATCGCACTATTCTCAGCATTTAAAACAGTGCCTGCTATGTAGCTGGCTTTCAACACATATTTGCTGAATAAATTAGACAGCTCTAATACGAACCAGCATCTTCTGGTAAAACAAGCGAGTGATCCTTGGTTAACATAAAGGCGTGTACTGCCAGCTGCCTGGTGGCTCTGAGCTCCGAGCACCTCCAAATTGCTGAGTGTGTTCGATAACAATGACAATGTGGATGCGTAAGCTTAATCACTTAAGAGAAAATAATGAAATCAACCTCACCTTTAAGTCGTATTTCCTATATACAGATAAACGGTGGCTGAACACATTTCTTGTAACGATCACATATATTTCGACTCCATCCACATTAAGGCGGTACATGCCCAAGAACTGGGGAAGAAGGGTGACTCCATGACATTCCACTATATACTGCGCATGAGAAAAAAGAAAAAAAAGTATCCCATCAAAAGGTGCTCATTCAGATGCAACAACACAGCTCGTCTGCCTTTGCTGTTTACATGAAGGGAAACTTGCCTACCATTGGGGTCCTATTGACAGAAAATGTCTATGTTTATACTGCTTAACACAGGATCTATATTCACCATGTATGCACGGATAAAAAAAAAATTCAACTTTATCTCCAAAAAGATATTTTGGCCTAACATTCCAAACCGATTGGTAAAGTCGAAACTTGGATTTAATAGTGTAAGGTGAGAAGACCAGTGATTGATCCTTTTTATAATTCCTTTAAAGTAAAAATTACACTCCACCTAGGGCCTCCATCTTCCTCCCCAGAAGGCCCGGTGATGACTTTATGACGTTGACGTAGAGTCACTTGGCCACTAAGATTAGCTCCTTTCACACTGAGAGTCACCGAGCATCGTGGAACGGAGCAGATACTAACCCCGTTTGATGAATGTGTGAAAGACATCTTCTGAGGTTGAGACTGAAGAAGAGATAGATAGTGGAGAGTGCCCATTGTTAGAAGCTGGAAAGCTTGGTCTCTAGTCTTAGTTTTTGTTTCTCAACCATACCCTTCCTGGGGCTCAGCTGCCCATCTGAGCAGCAGTGTAAAGGGTGGGTGCCACGCCACCATGGGGCGCATCCCTGCTCTCAGACAGCCCTTGGAGATTCCCCAGCTCCACGCTGGACTTGATCCAGGCCATTGGTCAGAGTCCTGCTTTGACACCATTTCCAGTTAGAGTTGCAAAAACACAACAGGGGTTTACAAGCCTTTAATGGCATGCCCGAAAAGGCCACAAGGTGGAGACACTTCTCCTTGAAAGCCAACCCTTATACAACAAATCCCACTCCAGCTTCCCAATGGAGAATTAGGCTTCCCTTTCTTTAAAATGAGGGGGTAAGATTTCAAAAAAAGCTCTTTTACATCCATGGCATGTGTGTAAAATCTCCAGGATAATAAACAGCATGAATAGTTGGATTCAAAAGTTGTAAAAATTGTACACGTTGAGCATATTTACAGAGATATTCTGTAAATATGATAAAATTTCCAGTAACTCTTTCTTGCTTTTTTTTTAAAAAAAATTATCACACTGCTTAAATTTTTCTTTTTGACACTGAGCATTTTAAAAAATTAAGAAAGTTTGCCCTTTCAAACTTTTTAGTGGTAAACACTGTCAATCAAATCTGATAATATTTAACTGTCTTAAGAGTTTTTTTTTTTTTAAAAAAAGGCTTTTAGTTTTTATCATTAAAGAAAAGATAAGCAGCATCAGTATGAGTTTGATTTTCGCCACCCAGAGTTTTGGCAGATTTTAAAGATGCCCCAGCCCCTTCTCCCTTTTTAAATCTTACTAACCATAATCGAGCTACATATTTTAATTTGATACATTTTCTGAATAGTTTCACCTTAACCCGTTCTTCATTCGAAGTCAGACAGCAGAACATTTTCTATTTCTCTCTCTTCGAAAAACAGTACGTTAACTTGAGTTTTACTAATGCAAACCAGGAGATAAAGAGCCCTTGGTTGAAGAGAAAATGTCTCACATCTGCTCTAAAAAACTAAAAGGGGGTGTTGTCCCTTGTCTCTGAAGATTGTTGGATGGACCTTAAAGACATGTAGACAATGGGAGTCTACATGGTATAATAAGCACAGAAAAAAGAACATAGGTTTGTGAGTCAGAGAGATGTGTGTATGTGTCCTGGTCCTGGTGCCTCCAACGACCAGCTGTGCACTCTTGGGCAAGTTACTAAATCAATCATCACTTTAGTTTCATTTTCTGGAAAGCGAGCACTGTAATTCCTACCTCAAAGGATTATAGGCGATAGTATGTCAAAATACTTCACACAATGCCTGTGTAATCTACTCTTCCTCCTACTACAGATGACAATGATTGTAATAATTACGTTCATTTAAAACTCTGAAGAGGCACTGAATATTTACTCCCAAATCTTTAAAAAGGGAACTTGATAGTCATCGATTCTTATTAAGCTTACTATGTGGAGCTCGATCAATCCCAATCATTCTTGCATCCATATTCTCATGCTAAACGCACTGCGTTACCTATGTCTGCATTTTTAAAATATCGCTTTTATCACTTTTCACTTTTGCGTTTTCGTAGCTGGCCACCTCACGTCACCTTGCTCTGCTATTCATTATGCAGTGGCTTCTGTTTTTGTCGAGAGTGCTCTTAGAAACATGCTGGCTGGCAGTGTTTTGTCTGTAACCCGTGTTTCCAACACTAACACTTTTTACTTTTTTCTGTCTTCTTTTAAAAAACTGACGTGTAAATGATTCCATGGTGTCATTGATAGAGTCAAATTTAATCTCTTCCTGTCTCCCTTAGAACTTTTTCCTGTACAACCGCGGGCTTGTTAGAACTGTAATGCAATGCTAAATTGACGTGGTAAAAATTAGAATTTTAAAAACATATAAAATGCAACAGCAACAAGATCTCAGTTTCCTTTGGTCTTAGGCACTCAACAAGAATAACGAGTATTATGAATCCCCAATTTGTTGCTCTTCTCATGCAAAATGAAATGCCATTAAAAGAGTCACAGCTGACTGAAGGCTTCGGCTGAGTTGAGCGGAGTCTAGTGATGCACCGCGACAGATAAATATTTATATCTCTGCGTGAGAGTGTGAACCTGGGCTCTGGCTTTTGAAAATTGCTGTTATTATCATGTTTCACTCATTTTTATTTTAGAGGTTTGAGGTGACAATTTAATACAGCATTAAATTAATACTTCAATGTGAAGTCTTGTTTCGGGTAAACGTTTTTGAAAGGTTAAATTATCTGTAATCCTAATTGTGCCTCTGGCTATATTTATAGATCACTCCAACATATTTTACAAGAAAGAAAAGAAAGAAGGGGAGGGAGGGAGGAGGAGGAGGAGGAAGAAGTCAGCCAGCTTGAAATTAAGCATTGCTTTGTTTTAGAATGACCAAATAAATAAATAATGCAAATTTCCCTGGAATTAATATTTTGGGATAACAGTATATACGTGTCAGTTAATATAATTTATTTTGGTTTCAGATAGTTTTGAAGTCAAAAAAGAATATAAAGATGATGTCGCTTAGTTAATATAAAAACAAAACATTGCTGCTTTGCTTAAATGTGATCACATTAGGCTTAAAAGAAACGAACATTCCTCTGGAGGGTTTATGAACCCTCTTAGCACTGAGATAATGCAGAATACGCCGGAACTCAAACACTGATGTTCCCAATTTCCTCTGTTACACTGCAGTCAAGGCCCATAAATAACATCATTGTTAAAGATGAAACGACGTTGCACAAAACACTTGATCATAAGTAGAGACGGCGTTTACTCACTGACTATGACTAAAATGCAGAATGGCTGCTCTATGCGTAGCCCTGGTGAGGAGCTGAGAGAGGCAGGGCTGATGGCACCGCCAGCCGCTCCTTCTGGGTCTGCCCGCCTGTCACTCTGGCCCAACATGGGGGCTCGGGGTGGAGTACTTGAATGCACCACGTGCACCACCAGGTTGGCTGTGGACCTACGTGACAGTGTGACTTCTCCCTCTATCCATTTCTTCCTTCCTCTTCCCTGCTTAGGAAGATCCCTAATCAATATCTTGACCCTGAACTCTGTGTGGGTTTCCTCTTGGGCAAGTCACTCTGCGTGAGAGTCAGCGGACACTAGAGGCAACAAATTCAGGCCCAGGCTTTGCAGAGGTTAGGACTATCAAAAATAGAATTTGAACAGTTATGCATAAAACGTTTAAAGAAACAAAGGATACAATGTCAGAGATGAGCATATAACAAGAAACCATCAGGAATGAACTGGTGGATTTTAAAAATAGAACATCTAGAAAAAAATACCATTATCGAAATAATAATAAAAATATATCACTGGACGGGTGAGACAACAGGTTGAAATAGTCGAAGAGAGAATTAGGACTGGGTGACGATACAGCTGAGGAATTTACCCAGAATTGGGCAGAGATGTTTGGAGAAGGAAAATGAGAAAGAAAAGTTGAGATATAGAGGCCAGAATGAGAACGTCAAATATATAGCTGTTGGAGAGACAGAAGGAGAGAGTAGAGCATGCGGGCGCTATATGAAGAGAAAAAGACGATGGAATTTCCAGAAACTGGGGAAAACCTGCTGCAGGAAAAGCATTCTGCGGAGTGTGCTGGCGGATCCCTGGAAGTGTGGGGGACAAATGGCCAGGACGCTGTACACACAGGGCTCCAAATGCCCCCCTTAGCAAGCGGGGACTCCCTGTCTGCAAAGTGGAGCTTGAAGGGGTGTCACCCAGGCCACAGGCACCCTGGGCAAGGTAAACACCTTTCTGATGTTTCTAAGAGAGAAGCAAGAAATGTTTCTAAGAGAGGCTCTGCCGGGGGCCTGCCTTTGGCCACACAATTCTAGGTGCTTGTAGGACTTAAAACTTTGATGTGCTTTTCACATTTCAATTGACCTCTCCTCCAGGCAGGAGCAGACTCAGAATGTTTCTCCTGTTTCAGAAAGCAGGTACCGTCCTGGTATGTCCTGGGGGCTTCATCAGCATCACCTGGAAGAGTTAGACACGCAGCCTCTCGGGTCCACCCAGATCTGCTGAGTCGGAATCTGTGTTTTTATAGGGTGCCGGGTGTTCTGCTTATCGTCGGAGTTTAAGAAGCACTGATGTGGTTGTGCAACCTTTTCTCTTTCAGTACCACCCACCTCCCATTGTTTTATTTCAATTTTTGGCTTTTATGGTGTCTGCTTTCTCAGTGTTCCTCTATTTGTGGATCGTTCTTCAAGTGATAATGCCTACGCCACTGTCCTTCAGGGGAGGATAAAAAGTTGTACTCCAGAGAGACTCCAAAAAAGTCAAGCATTCACACTAAAATCCTTCACTGAAATTCGAGGTACTAGCTAGCTTATTTAACAAGGGGTTCAGGTTTGAGGCATAATCTCTAGATTCGGCTTAAGTTAGTAATTGTTTCCCAAATACAAAGGATAAGAAAGGATTTCTGAGATTACTTTATAAATTTTATTAATTTATCAATTCAGTCACTTTGACATAAAAAAAAATTTAACTTCTGTATTCTAAAATCTTAAAAGATATTCTTAATATAAGATATTTCTTGATCATTTATACTGTAACTTGTTAACCTGCCATAAAATTTCTAAAATTTTACTGACATTGACTTTTAATTTTAAACATGAATTCAGGTCAGTGGGGGGGAAAATCAGTCAAGTTTAGGAGAAATAAGGCATTCAAGTAGGTTCTTGACCATTTTTTCCCTTTTTGAATGCTCTTCTGATATTGCTTAGCTAATTGGTTGATAATCACCATTTGTAAGACCTGAGTTTGTTCTAGACTAACAGAAATTTGAAGAAAAGGATATTTGTACTTAAACATTATGGTATTTTCCCAACTATAGAAAAGAGAAAACCAAAATTAAAAAAAGTTCACTCTGCTTAATATAAATTTTCCATTGGTCTGAAAGGCAATGTTGTTCTTTCTTGGCACCGGGTGGAAATCAGGGTATGATTCAGCAATAGGTAACAACTAAGGCAAGATGCTAGAGCTTAGGAAAAAATCTAACTCCTTATGGTTCAAATCTTCATAATTCTGCCTCAGTGTCACATTCTACCAGAAACCAGGTCCCTTAGCGGACTGTAAGAGTTAATGATTTCTACACTGGGTTGTAGGAAATTGAGTAGACAAATGGTACTTAATTACCTTATTCAATCTTTTATGTAGCACTTACCATATACCAGGCACTGTTCTGGGCAGGTTATAAATATCACTTCACCTAATTAGCACAACACCGAATGACGGAGCTACTATTATCCAAATGGAGAGACGGAGAAGCAGGTGTAGAGAGGTTAGGTGACTTGTCGAAGATCCACAGCTGGTCAGGGGCAAAGCTGGGGTTCGAGGGCGGCAGCCAGCTGCAGAGTCTGTGCCCTGAACCGCCTACCACATTGCAGAGCTGGCGAGCCTGGCTCATCAGAAAATTAATCCCAGGAAGAATTTATTCGAGTATCTAGCAATGTTCCACTTCCCTAGAGGCTGGCCTTAGGGTAATGTTAATCCTCCAGAACAGAGCTGCGACTCTGGATATGTTTCATTACAACGAAAAGCAATGAAAGAAGAAAAAAGAGAAGTCGAGGGTGGTCGAGTAACCAGGGCCGTCAGAAAGCCCACCCCATCTGCCCCACAGGAGGGGTCCTCTCTGGGAGCCTATCCCATTTATTGCATGCACTTCAAACAAGCTTAATTACTTGTCCAGACCAGGCAGTTCAGAAGCACAGCAAATTAGAAGGTAAAAAGCAAGAAGAAATAAGAGTTAACAGTAGCCACCGAAGCAGGAGACAGAAAGCTTATAAGACTAGACTTAAATCCCGAAAGCGGTCTAGGCCTACTGAAAGTGGGAAAGGAAAAAAAGGCCTAGGACTCATGAAAAGGCTTGTGAGCATCACTGGAGAGAACAGTCAAGCACGAAGTGTAGAAGGACCGCTGCTGGGTGACAGCTGGCGAGGCCTGTGTCCAATCGCATGAAACAGCTACACCTGAGGACGCACGAGGCCGAGCTCACTGCCGTGTAATGTCCATCAACACGGTGTCTGAAGGGGCCTGTGAGAAGGGCGGCTTGAGGACATTCAAACTCCTGCCTTGGTGGGGGCCCCTGGCAGAGCGCTGGGTGGCTGGTGTGCACTGCCCCATCCCTCTGCAAAACGTGTTGACTAAGTGCGAGTTACATGTTGGCGTGGGCTCAGCGGCCCACCTTGATGACTTACTTTCAAAGTTCTGTGAAATTCTTGTGTGTCACACAGGGGTCCCCAAGGATGATGTTTGTCATGTCAGGTGTTCTCTCTGTGGGGAACGCCTTAGAAATAACCCCATCTGATCTTAGTACTAAGAATAGTTATATTCCTCCTTCACAACTGATTCATTTGTGTCTTCAGGCGCAGGAGCTGTGTCTTATTCAGCTTCCACTTTCCATTTTGGCAACAAGGGAGCCGAGTTGAATTAGTGGCCCCCACAGGAGGAAGCACGCCGGTCATCACAGTATGTCATTCCAGCCTCCATTTCGTGTCTCCACCCTCTTCTTCCCTGATCTATTTTTCTTTTTTCCTATTTATTCTATCTAGTGTATTTCAAACTTCCTTGAAGGCCACCTTGTATCCTTTCTGGAAGTAGGTCAAGAGTAAATAAACGAATGAATGAACAAATGAATGAATGAATGAATGAATAAAATGTAGATGGGGAAACTGGGGTTCGGAGACCATCTAAGTGACCAGTTTATAATAAGCTAGGATCTACGTCTCCTGACTTTTGACTTAGTGTTCTTTAAATAAATTGCATTAAAAACAGTGATTCTCAATCACTAAGATCATCAGTATTATATTTAAAACATGATTTATAAGAAGAAAGAAACATACAGATGTTGGGTAAATGAGACTTTTCTAGATAAAAAACATACCATGAAAATATTATTTCGTCGTAGTGAAATGAAAGAAAATGTTTAGTACTTGAAACGCCCTGGAGCCTGTTAGTGGACTTAATTTGATCCCCAGTGTATTGTATGCAATATCGAAGATATATCAAATCTGCAAGTTAGGTTATAGTAACCGCCCCAGAGAGAACGTTTCAAACTGTGATGTCTGTAAAGTCCAGAAATTCTGAACTCAGAGTTGCCATCGAGAAGTTGCTATTTGAATTGTGTGTCACGTTTTATTAGAATGGTATCATAGCCATTTATCAGAATAACATGTTTTCGTCTGCCATCGAGGTATCACTTTGCTTCAAAAGTACTGAGGTAATTTAAAGAAAGTATAAAAAGAATTCGTAAGCGTGACATTAAGTTCCAGAGGGGAGAAATGAAATAGTAGACAGTTTAAAAGGTCACTAGTTAAAGCTGCACCCTGTAATTAAATTCATTCAGAAGCCAGTGCACCCGTGTGGTACTGTGCCTGTGCTTTGGAATTTTCTTCATAATAGGGAACAGCATAAGCATTGTAGAACAAATTTCAAAAGGAATACAGCTTATAAAAGATTTATTATATATTAAATGAAATTTAGAGACTGACTAATGTTTTTAAGAAACAAATTAGGGATAATCCCAAGTTTCCGGAAATAGAATATAGCTCAAGAATATAGCAAAAAGATTTTTATAGACGTCACTGCAAGCAGAACATAATTGATCACATTTGCAAAGACTGAAGAATAAGCAACTGCCAAGAAATATTCCGTGATGTTAGAGCATCAAGGATGACCATGAGGGAAGGGAGCTGACTTCTAAACAGACATATCGGTGCTCACAAATCCAATGAGAGCTGCATTCAAAGCTGTCACTTTGAGAGGCCAATACTTAATGATGCGATTGTTTAAACACTTGAAAAATCCTTTGGTTTATGCAGTCAGGGCCCACAGCACTTTATTTTGAATACCCTCTGTGATTGCTAACCTTTACCTTCGAGGGGGCTTTGGAGCTATTAGGTAAAAAATCAAAGCAGGACTCTAAAAGTAAGTGCGTGTGTATGCACACGTGTGTGTGTGTTCATGTGTGCACACGCATGTATGTGTCTTAGCATGTGGTTCGAACATCAGTTCTGAAGACAAGTGCTGTGATGTTGCAAGCGAGTCATATGACACCATCAGACTACAGTTTCTCAAGGTAACACAGTAGTTATTGGTTGTCATATGACTTGATGATAACGAGCACCTAGCCTGCGGCGGACACTGAACTAAGTACCTGACTTACATGCTCCCGTTTAATCTTCACAACTCCACGGTAAGGTGGTGTTGTTATCTCCATCATATAAATGAAAACACTGAGTCTCCAAAGTCCAGAAGTCATGTGCTTAGCAGGAGACAGGGCTGGGATTTGAACTTGGGATTGTCTGACACTGAACTTCATGCTCTTAATACGTAAAAAGTGAGGCCTCTTACAGCTCCCCTTAGACCTGGGAACACGTGCTCCACCAGGCAAACTTGTGCTGGGATTTATCCAAAGAGAGGGAGGGAGGAAAAAGAGAGCGAGAAGGAGAGGGAAAGGGAGAGGGAGAGGGAGATTGAGGCTGGCAAGGATAGTTTCATTCTTTCCCCAGGTGATTATAAAGGGATAATGCTGATGGGTGAAAATGAGAAAATTTCCTAGCAGGAGAGTGTGAGCAGGTCCTTTCTGGGCACAGGACAGGAAAAGACCAGTGAAAGCTGGATGGGATTTGGAGGTGTAAATGGATAAATACTCACAGGTTAACATCTTACTTCTGGCATGTGCGAAAAAACTTCTGAAATGTTGCCAAATCTTAAGCTGAGTGATTTTAAAATCAGTATGGCAATCATCGACACTATTATACATAAGAGTATTTATCTTAAAAGTGTTACATAAATAACTAATTACCTTTATAGGATAAGCATTCCTAAATGTTAACTGTCAGGAATTTGGCTAAAGCGATTTTTAAAAGGCCAGCTAGAGGGGAATTTTACGTCAGATGTGTTCTCATCATTTCCTGACTACGTATTTAAACCTTTGGCCTTGAGGACAATCGGTCGTGAATGTGAACCTTTTCAGAGTTGCAAACAAAGGTAAAGGAAAATTACCTGGTGGTATTTCTTCAGGATGTTGTGCATTTCGGCCACATCCTCACTTGTAATGGTCTTGATGACGTATCTTTTGTCGTAAGACGTGTGGAATCTGGCCCCGCTCCGTGCCTGGGAGTCGTTGGGAAGGGGTGCGCTCCTGGTCAGGGAATTCTTCCCGTCGAGAAATAAGAGGGGAGGAGAGAAGAGGGTCGGTCAAAGACTGTGGCTTTCTGGTTTCCGGCTAATTTGTTATCATCGTAAGTTTTCAAAAAGCGTTTGTGTTTGGAGGAAATTGGTTAAGCAGGATGACAACATTTTACAGTCGTCATATCTCAAACTGCCAGTCTTTCGAATGAAATGAAAAACGGCTTGGGCGTGCACTGTGATTCTAATGTCCTTAAATAAGCTGGCTAATGTCTAGAATTGTAACCAAAGTTATTTTGTTCACCTTGCTCTTTTCCGATTTGGACGAGAGCCCAGATTTTCTTCTGAATGAAATTACGATCCAGTCGTGAAAGAAAATTTAACATTCAGAGTGATTCCTTAATGACAGGTATTCTGCCGAGCAGGAGGCACAGAGTACCTCTCCCAATTCTGATAACATCTCCGTGAATCGGTTATTATTAATATCATCATTATTTTACAGATGAGGTGATGGGGGATCAGAAAGGTTTAATAACTGGGCAAAGTCCACATAGCTAAAAAGGGGAAGAGGCAGACTTCCATCTCCAGGGTGGCTGGCTCGGAACCCAAGTTTGAAACTAGTACACTGCTCAGCAAACTCTCTGCCTGTGGCGTGCCCAGGAAGAGCCTGGGCGGCTAGATTCGAAAAGAGTGTAATAGCCCGCCGAAATGTGAAAGGGTTAAAGAATAATTAAAACCTGAAACTGGACAAAGGAAGTCTATAACTTAGGCCTAGTTTCTGGAACCCCTAACCACATTTTGTTAACCATGAAACTTGTAACAATGAGCTCATACGCTAACTGCCAATTTTAGCCTATGTAACCCTGCTTGCTTGCGTGGCATGAAAAATAATCAATTGTATATAAGCTGAAAATTACTGTTTGGCCATCGCCCATGGGAACACTGGCTATTGTCCATGGGAACATAGGCAATGACCCATAGGAACATAACATTCTAACAACAAGCTTTCTGCTTCTGTACTTCCCGCTTGCACACCTGACCAGTGGGTTGACAGGTAGTGAATAGGAGAAAGATGGACCTTTGTGTTTAAGACAGAATGAGGAATGGGATTTGGGGCTTAAAAACCTTGTATCTTGGCATTTCGGGGCTGCTCCTTTGCAAGGACAGCCGCCGGCTAATAAACTGTCTCCTGGTTAAGAGCACTCAAGTTGGGTCTGGTTATTCTGGACACAACAAGAGCTCCTCGAAGATTCTGATTTGGTCCATCTTCCACTCTTCCTTCAGCCATTTTTGGGAACAACTAAGCTTCTGGAGGGTGGGCAGGGCGGGGCTCTGAATAGGGGATCTTCTAGTGTCATTTCGTCCTGGTAGGCGGCTCATGCCATCGACACTCTGGCTGGGAGCTGGGTAAGTCTACCCCTTCCTCACGTGTGACTCTGACTTTCTTAGAGCCTCTAGTAGGCCTCTGTCCCTCCCCCGGCCCCCGACCTTCTTACACTGGTCACCCAGACTACTGGGATTAGCACACCCCCGGTATCTGAGAATTCCGCTCGTCACCCCCGCTGACTGCTCTTCAGCGTTGCTTTCCTTCCCCGCCTGGTCCCGTGTACGAGGGATTCTAAGGCAATGACATTTTCCCTCTTCAACGTCCTCTCTAACGTGGGCATTCAAAGTCCCAATGAACCAAATATTGTCCAGTTAAGGGGACACGGATATCTTTAGGAGGCAGCAATATCCCTGCATCATAGATTTCTAGTTGAAAGAGTTCCCATTCTGTCTAGCGCAGTCACGTCTCTTTAACCTTTCCTTCCTTCCTAGATGAAATCCAGCAGGATTTAGCCATATGAAGTATAACTGCGTTGCAGTGGCGCAGTAGTACCCGGAGGCGCTTCGTGCGCTGAGGGAAGTGGCCCGTGAGCTCATTCTCGTTTCCCAGGACGGGCCCGGCCTGCGTAACATTACATCATGAGATAGTACACCTTGATTTGAATGAAAGCAGGCATGCCTGTCAAGTGCGGAGCTGATCCTACCAATTAACTGAATTTGCTTTCCTTAGCTTATTAGAAAATTGGAGAGAAGGAAAAAAAAAAAAATCAGTGTAACTCCCACACTGACTTTAAGTAACAGGATTTGGCAGTGTTAAATTATTCCTAAGACAAATGAAGTTCGCTAGATGGATTGAGAATGATGAAAATGATTTTCAGGATGAAAATGGCTGTTAACAGGAGTTTAATTCTCAGATATGATGGCTTTTCTCAAAAAAAAAAAAAAAGTCTTCTTTACGCACGTTTTCCTACGAAGAATAAAAGATAGGAACAATCAAAGTGAATGTCTTCTGTTGGGGTTTTAAGCACTAGCAAAGAAAGCAATTGTTGCTCTTCACTAATAGTCTTTTCATCCCAAACACTGATTTGCAAAAGGTATTCCAAATAAAACAAGAACACTAGGAATCGTAAGATTATAAATGACTTTCAGGCACAAAAGCAAAGCAGGAACGATCAACTTTATGACAGGCAGAACAGGTTATAAACTTTGTACAACTGATAATACATGTACAATAACTTTTGGGGAGAATGGGAAATAGTAAAGAATAATTGTATTCAGCACAGGGCAGAAATACAGCAGCATCAGTTCCATAGACTGTTTTCTTTGGCACATGAGATATGAAAGTATAATGTTGTATCATGGACTAATGGGATAGAATAAAATTGAAAGCTGCATAGTCAGTGCTTCTCGAACTTTAAGGAGCAACCAAATCACCCGGAGATCATGTTAAAATGCAGATTCTGACCCAGCGGGTGTGGGGTGGGGCGTTTGGAGAAGCAGATGATGCTGATATAGCTGGTCTTTGGACCACAAGTGAGAACCAAGCGTTTACTGAATGTGGCTACGATATGTTTTGTCCGGTGCAGAGTGTGCAGAGACTATGCATTAAGTGTGTTATAATTACAGACTTACCTACATGAACGCCTTTTGCATTATAGTCTGTCCAACACTGGTTTGGTAAAAATGGGGAACTACAGTGAAGAATAATTCATTACATTCACTGTATTAATTCACTAAAAAAGTTTAAAAATAATATGTTCGAGGCAATGTATGGATTTATAAGGTATAGTGTTAGAACTACACAGTCAAATAATGTCATGACTCCTCAGCTCACATGTTACCTCCTTCCAAATTCTTTTCCTTTCCCTTTGGTTTCAAAGACTTCGATAATTATTTATTACAGACTTTGCATTAAGATATTGGCCATGGCTTAATCCTGGGATACAACACCTTACAACTTCTAATCTTGATTCCGCTTCGACTCAGTTTTGCAATAATCACATGAGTAGTCCTAACTTCCAGTTTGTAAAAGGATTTTTAAAGACTCTTAGCTTTCAAATGATCAGTGAAGTCTGCCAACAGACGCTTTGTCAAAATTTAGAACATGCCTTTTACAATCGCTATCAACATAAAACTATATGGATCAAATTTACTGAAAGCCTGAGACAAGCAGAAAACCAGAAGGGTAAGCACAATTATACACAAAACGCATGATCCATGGAACGATTCTAAGGCCTGGAAGAAGCCAGCTCATTGCTTCTTATTTATTTGCGCAACATTCCCTTGAGATAGGAAAAGCCAGGTGCATTTTTCTACTCGAAGACAATGAAACTAAAGTACAACAGAGACGAGTAATTTGCCTGTGGCTCCTGCCTAACGCTTCCTCCGAGGTAACCAAACAGCGCAATTTACAAAGGCAAGACTAAACGTTTGCCATTACTTGACATCATAATCGCCATTACTTGACATCATAATCGCGGACTCTCCGTAGCCTTTGGCATAAGGTAGAGTGTTCATTTGTTGGTGTGGAAAGGCAGTGCTATGTAATGGCAGGGCGCTGGTCTGGGACCCAGAACACGCTTTGCCACTCGTCACCCCTTGGATATGTCGCAGCCTCTTCGAGCCTCGGTTTCTGGGTCTGTAAAGTGACAGGGAATAAATAAGCCCAGGGGAGAGGGTGGGCTGAACTGGACTTCCACTTCAGACCTTTGATAACCCTACACGTGTATTTACTTGGAGACAGCACACACTGCTCTAGAAACTGCTGGATAGCACGGGCCTCAGAAGGTGATTCGATACGTTTGCCAACACAAGTCCAGTCCGAAGAGACTACGACCATCAACTCAGCAGGTGCGTAATGACGGCTTAGGGCATCGGGACCAAGATGAAAGGGACGACGACAACGGTTCCTAGAGCGGCATGAAAACGACAGCTCATGGATTCCAGATGTACTCAAGGCCACTTCGGCAGGAACGAGAAAACGAGCAAAGCAAAGGAGGTCATGGCTACGCACTGAGAGTAGTTATTGAGCGGCCTGAAAACAGTCCGCGATCGAGTGAAACTCAACAGTGACATTCCTGTGTGCTCGGTCTGTCACACAGGAAAAACGGACCACGGCATCACACGGGTGCTTAGACAAGGTTGGGAGGCCAAGAGGAGGGAGCCCCGAGAAGAAAGAGTGACCTTCGCGTGCCCGCAAGGGGTCCCTCTACGTGTAAATGAATCTCACGATCAGAGGGTAGGACAGCTGGAAGCAACCCTAGAGATTATTCCAAACCGCTCGATTTACAGATCAGGAAACAGGGACTGGCCCGTCTCAGTCCGTGAGCACCTGAGCGGGACAGTGTTCGCGGGGGGCCTGGCAGGGGCCTCTCCCGGGGTTGCCGGCCTCACTCCCCGTGACAGCGCTGCCTCCCTGCCTGGGCCCGAGTGACTGGTGGGCATTAGGATGAGACTGTTGATATATATTTTTCTGTGGTGACAAATACCTCCTAACCACAATTTAGAGTCTGAGCCAGCTGGCAGAAAACCAAACCTGTCTTTCTGTTTTCAGTTTTGCCAAGCAAAACGTGTAAAAATATCATCGAGAATAGCCTTGTTGCTGACGCAGTCCAGAGCCCTTAATTGACGCTTTTATTAACGTATGTACACATCTATCTTGACTCGTTCTAGGACTGCTCATTACCTGACTTCACCTGAGG